TTTCATACGATTGATTCAGGGCATGTTGGAGTTCCTATTCCATGTAATATTGTCAAACTGGTTGACGTTGAGGAAATGAATTACTTCACATCCAATGGTGAAGGAGAGGTAATGTAACATCATTTTATAAATCATAAACCACTATGTAATTAAAACTTCTCATAGCTTTGGTATTTCATTTCAGGTTTGTGTCAAAGGGAAGAATGTGTTCATCGGATATCTCAATGACCCAGAAAAGACAGCAGAGGCTTTGGACAAAGATGGATGGCTGCACACTGGAGATATCGGCAAATGGCTGCCTGTGAGATCCCTCTTTTAGAAGGAGATATGATATTTATCTTTTATATTGTTACTTTTTAAGATTCTTCTTTCAAGGGGGTCATGACATGAATTTTTTTTTATTATTTTAATGTTCCTTGAAGAGCTCAATTAAATACATTGTTTATGAGGAGGAAATTTTAAGCTATGAAACTCGCAGAATGTTTTAATGGTACAAAGACCTCTTTTTTTTTTAAATGCATTTGGCAGACGCTTTTATCCAAAGCGACTTACATTGCATTTCAAGGTACAGATTATACTTTTTTTTTAATCAGTTCTTGCTTTCCCTGGGAATTGAACCCATGACCTTGGCGTTGCAAGCGCTAATGCTCCACTGTTTGAGCTACAGGAAAACTTATATGCTAAAAGATCAAGGCAAATTTGATTTCTCATGCCATGACCCCTTTAAATAATGCAGCTTGGAAGGACTGGAATGCATAGACCTATTATGTTATGATATCAGCAAGTAGCCAAAATCACAAAATGCAAAGCTGAATTCAATATGTACATAATCTTAGCTTCATGCTATCAAATAGCCCTTATGACCACTAGTCCCTCTACTTCATTAGCCAGGTTAACATATCCAATGCGTAAAGGCAATGATACATTTTAAATTGAAAGAGTCTTAATCTTATTGCATTTAATTTGAAATAATATCATGCCAGTAAACTCAAAGAAATAATTAATTACCCTGATTTTCTCTAAAATGCATTAATAAACACAACTGTTCAAAGGTTTGGGGTCAGTAAGCAATTTTATTCAGCAATTATGCATTAAATTGATCAGAAGTGACAGTGAATACATTCATAATGTTACAAAAGATTTCAGTTTCAAATTAATGCTGTTTGTTTAAACATTCTTTTTATAAAAAAAATCCATGAAAAATTAAACACAGTTTCCACAAAACATTAAGCAACACAACTGTTTTCAACATTGATAATAAGAAATGTTTCTGTGCACCAAATCAGCATATTAGAATGATTTCTGAAGGGTCATGTGACTGAATACTGAAGTAAGTTATTTTAAATTGTATTAATATTTCACAATATTGCGTTTTTTCTTTTGGATCAAATAAATGCAGGCTGACTGAGAATAAAAGACTTCTTTCAAAAACATTAAGAAATCTTACTGATTCCTATCCTTTGAATGGTAGTGTGTTTGAAAGTCCGATAGTTCACTTGCTCTGGTCCGGACCAAATAATCTTTTTTTTTTTTTTTTTTTACGGTTCGCTTTCACACTGCTCTTTTTGCAAGTGAACCAAAATGTGTAAACAAAACCACACGTGTGCTAAGGTCGTCCATTCATTGGACAAGGATTCTCAAGTAGGGAAATCAGGAAGTGCAAAAAAGGCTCAGCATGGAGATATTTCGTACTGCAATATTTGTTATTTTACTAATTTTGTGTTATATTCTGTACAAACGCAATATGAAGAAACTGCGCAGAAGACGGATAAGGTATACAGTTTTGATTCATAGAGAGGGGCTATGTTCACACATTCAAATAATGAGATTCTTATTGTATATACTGCTAACAAGTGCTGTCAATGTTAACGCTTGCGATTTAAGTTTGTCCAGTTTAACGCAGCGTCATCCTTGTAACTATTATATGAACTGCAAAAGCTTTTTTTTGCATCTATGCGCGATTAGACTAAAGAGAACGCGCTGTATGTGAATGTCCTGATGCACACACTCATTCATTGATTCATTCCATTCCAATGATGCACACACACGACGCGCAACAGTATCGTGTGGCCAGACAGCGCGCCGGAATGGAATTCTCTTTCGCACTTGAACAACAATAACACAAACCATTATGCCAAAATCTCCGACTACGGAAGCCTTTTAACTCAAAGGCACAGTGCTTTCTTGCAATTGGGTCGGTTCATGTTCACACCGTAAACGAACCGTACCAGAGTTCGTTTGGAAGCGTACCGAGACCACCTCTTCAGCTGGGTCTCGGTTCGTTTGTTTGGTCCACACCAGAGTTCGATTGCTGTATTCACACCTGCCCAAAAGGTCCGCACCAAGGGGGGAAACGAACTAGAGTTCGATTCAATCGAACCAAACAAGGCAGGTGTGAATACACCCTAAGGGTGTATTCACACCAGGAAAGTCCGATAGTTCACTTGCTTTGGTCCGGACCAAATACATTTTTTTTTTTTTTTTGTTGGTACGGTTCGCTTTCACACTGCTCTTTTTGCAAGTGAACCAAAATTTGTAAACAAAACCACACGTGTGCTAAGGTCGTCCATTCATTGGACAAGGATTCTCAAGTAGGGAAATCAGGAAGTGCAAAAAAGACTCAGCATGGAGATATTTCATACTGCAATATTTGTTATTTTACTAATTTTGTGTTATTCTGTACAAACGCAATATGAAGAAACTGCGCAGAAGACGGATAAGGTATAAAGTTTTCATTCATAGAGAGGCGCTATGTTCACACATTCAAATAATGAGATTCTTATTGTATACTGCTAACAAGTGCTGTCAATGTTAACGCTTGCGATATCGTTACATTATATGAACTGCAAAAGCTTTTTTTGCATCTATGCGCGATTAGACTAAAGAGAACGCTCTGTATGTGAATGTCCTGATGCACACACTCATTCATTCATTCCATTCCAATGACGCACACACACGACGCGCAGAAAGACGCGCAACAGTATCGTGTGGCCAGACAGCGCGCCGGAATGGAATTCTCTTTCGCACTTGCACAACAATAACACAAACCATTATGCCAAAATCTCCGACTACGGAAGTCTGTTAACTCAAAGGCGCAGTGCTTTCTTGCAATTGGGTCGGTTCATGTTCACACCGTAAACGAACCGTACCAGAGTTCGTTTGGAACCGTACCGAGACCACCTCTTCAGCTGGGTCTCGGTTCGGTTGTTTGGTCCGCACCCGAGTTCGATTGCTGTATTCACACCTGCCCAAAAGGTCCGCACCAAGGGGGGAAACGAACTAGAGTTCGATTCAATCGAACCAAACAAGGCAGGTGTGAATACACCCTAAGAAAGAGTAAAAAGATGTCATTTTAATGTGGAAGTTATTTTTTGTGTTCACTTTACCAGAGTGGAGTGTTGAAGATAATTGACAGGAAGAAGAATATCTTCAAACTGGCCCAAGGTGAATACATTGCACCGGAAAAAATTGAAAACGTTTACATTCGAAGTGCTCCAGTCGCCCAAGTGTTTGTGCATGGTGACAGTTTACAGGTAACATTAATATAAATACCTTGCTTTTTCTGATGATAAAAATGGCTGGTCTTTCATTTTAGTATTATGTAGCCTAATATCATTAATTTAATGTGTCCAGTCCTCTTTGGTGGCCATAGTGGTGCCAGACCCTGAAATATTGCCAGGTTTTGCAGAAAAACTGGGAGTGAAAGGTTCACTAGAGGAGCTATGTAAAAATCAGGTATGCTTATGCTACATACTTTTACATACCTTTGAAAATACATACAAGACTTGCAAAGGATTCAATCTAAAGGATTTATGCTAGCTTACTTGTGCAACACTTCCAAAATATTTACATTATACGTTTAAACATGTATATCATACAGCAAGTGCTCAATACACTTCATCTTTTAATAGGAACTCAAGAAAGCAATCATCTCTGACCTCAACAAGCTGGGACGTGGAGCTGGGCTGAAGTCCTTTGAACAAGTAAGCACTTTTATGATTCATTAGGCTATTATTAGCAACAATCAATGTTAAGACACTTGTATGTATATAGGCCATATGCGGTGCATGCATATAGCATAAAATCATTGTAGAAAAGACAGACTGTGGAAAGTCTTCTTATGCATTTTTCCCCATTAAACTAAAAGAAAACAACATGGCTAATATAGGTTTGTTCTCTTTTCTTCAAGGTAAAAGACCTGTACCTGCATCCCGAAATGTTCACTATAGAAAACGGTCTTCTCACTCCAACACTGAAAGCCAAACGGGCAGATCTCATTAAATTCTTCAAAGTTCAGATTGAGAGTCTTTATGCGAACATGCACTAAAAAAAGCTGGGGATATCCTGTGGAGTGCTGTTTGTGTTATGTTGTTATATTTGCTCAAAGATTAAAATATTTTATTAGCATTGCACTGCATCAACCTTCTCTATAATATGTGCTCGTGATACTTTCATTGTCTGTCAAAAAGAAATACATGCTTTTTCTAGATATATTATTATAAAACAAATGTACAAACAGCCTTACAAGATTTAATGAATATCAAAGAATGTTAATTTATTAAGAAAATGTGAAAACATTAATCAATGTTGTAAAGTTGTCAATGAAACAAACTTTGTTGTTGTTTTCCATTGAAAATACGAAGGAAATAAAACGAAGAAATTATTTTACAGATCATGGTTGTTTATTTGTTTCTGAAAACTGCAGCGAGGTTGACATACAAAACAAGCCATCAAAAATAAAAATACAATTATTTTAACTATATAAACAACTTAGGTAATTTGCATGACAAAGACCTTGTTACAACTGGAAAAAAGGCTTTGCATAATCAGTGCGAGCATCAACGTACAAGAGCAAGCGAGAGAGAAAGGCAAGAAGAAATAAGTCTCAAGTAAACATCTTAATAACCCCCTTTAAAGAAAATGCTGCCATATGCCCCAATTCCATAAAAAAAAAAAAAAAAACGAATTTCTTTCTCATTTGCCAGTTTCTCTGGCAGCTGTTCTTTAGAAATGAAATGTTAAGTTACACAGGTTAAAAACTTTGGGGTGTCAGTATTAATTTGCTTCAACACTTAGCGCTGGTGACATTGAACAGCTTTACAAAAGAATCAGAAATATATTTGCATCTCAGCAGGGTTTAGGCCCTAATATTAGGTCCAAAGCGAGCAGTGAAATGTACAATTCTGTCTCATTGCTCTTTCTTTTCTTCACTTGTCAAATTATTCGCTGAGTCATAGAGACACTTCTCGACACATCGGCGTGGAAACCATCCTCTAATACGATCTCCAGCTACAGGGAGATATCATTTCACACATGAAACTTATGAATTACATTTAATTACTGATCATGTAACAAAATTTTGGAAACATTTTGAAACTTTACCTTTAGCCTGTTCCTCATTCAGAACTTTGTCCCCATACATCCACCACCTGTTGATTAACAACAGCATATTTATCAATATATATACTGTACAGTTTGTGAATGCTTTTTGTAAAAAGTCTCAGTAACACTTTACAATAAGGATTAATTTGTTAACATTAGTTAACTACTTTAGTTAACATGAACTAACAATGAAAAATACTTCTAAAGCATTTATTAATCTTAGTTCATGTTAATCCCAACATTTACTAATACATTATTAAAATCAAATGTCAAATCTGTTAATATTATTTAATGGACCCATGTTTACATAAACGAACAATGAACAGTTGCATTGTTAATAACAAACATTAACAAAGAATAATAAAAACTGTGAAGTCTCTTATGCTCACTAAGTCTGCATTTATTTGATTAACAATTCAGTAAAAACAGTAGTATTGTGAATTGTTTTTCAATTTAATATATTGTAAAATGTTATTTATTCCTGTGATGCAAAGCTGAATTTTCAGCAGTCTTCAGTGTCACATGATCTTTCAGAAATCAATCTAATATGCTGATTTTCTGCTCGAGAAACATTTAGAAAATGATCAAAGTTGAAAACAGTCATGCTGTTAAATATCTTGGTGGAAACCAATTGATTTTTCAAGATTCTTTGATAAATAACATTTATTTGAAATATATATTTTTTACATTACAAATGTCTTTACTATCACTTTAGATCAATAAAATGCATCCATGCTGAATAATATTATATTATATTATATTATAAAAATGTAATTAAAAACTGCCAAAAAATAGATTATAGCATGCTGGTCTAATAGCATGTGTGATAAACAGTTAAAGGGATAGTTCACCCAAAAATGAAAATTCTGTCATTAATTACTCACCCTCATGTCGTTCCAAACCTGTAAGACTTTCGTTCATCTTCAGAACACAAATGAAGATCTTTTTGATAAAATCGGAGAGCTTTCTGTCCCTCCGTTGACAGCTACGCAACTACCACTTTGACGCTTCAAAAGGTTCATAAAGAGATCGTAAAACTAATCCATTTGAATTAAATGGTTTAGTCCAAATTTTCTGAAGAGACACGATCGCTTTATATGAACAGATTGAATTTAGGTTTTTATTTACATATAAATATCGATCAGCAAACATAAACAGAAGATCATTCTAACCTGCTTGATGCGTGAGAACAAACCTCATTGGTTGCTGCGCAACACACGAGAGTGAACCTCATTGGTTCTCGCACGTCAAAGCGAATATGCTTGTGCTTTAAATCTGTTCATTATATAAAGCAACTGAGTCTGTTCAGATAATTTGGATTTATCCACTCAATTCATATGAATTAGTTTTATGATCTCTTTATGAACTTTTTGAAGTATCAAAGTGTTAGTTGCGTAGTTGTCTAGGAAGGGACAGAAAGCTCTCAGATTTCATCAAAAATATATTCCTTTGTGTTCTGAAGATGAATGAAAGTCTTACAGGTTTGGAACGACATGAGGGTGAGTAAATAATGACAGAATTGTCATTTTTGGGTAAACAATCCCTTTACATATATATTTCAAACTGTCCCCACTGGAAGATATGGACCATTAAAATAACTATAAATGATGGCTCACTTGGTTCCTCTTGTAGCAAAGATGGTCTCCCCCTTTATGAGTTTGATTCTGGGTTCCTCTGTACAAGGTGTCCTAAAGAAAGTGTTTAGTCCCTTTCCCAAAGGGCAACAAGCTCCATTGTAGTCCTCCACCACTCTGTACTCAACCTGCAAATCAGAGTCATCATTGCGTCAGTCCTTTAGTAAATGCCGCCCTCTTGTGTTTGAAAGTGATTACGGCAATACTCACACTCCTCTGACGTTTATCATGTTTTTGCTTCAGCTGCTCAATCTGAATAAAGAAGAAACAGAAATATCATTACAAACTGAGCTATAGAGCTGTATTTGACTGTATTATATAACCTAAAGAAGGATCGATTATGCTGAGCACATACGGTTAGAGTATACTGGTTACACTTCTCATGCACAGGCCATTCGATTCCATCTCCCATGGGGGTACCAGACCATGTGAACACCTGCTTGAAGTTCTCCCATCGGCTGCCCAGGTCATAGGGGAAGATGAAGTCTTCACCTGTTTGGTAGTATTGGATTCTGTCTTTGGCCTGGGAACACACATATTCTTGCTTTAATGTAATAAACCCACAGGACCTGCTGAATTCAGAGGACTTACTAATCTTATGTCCTATACCTCCATAAGGTATCATATAGTCACAAAGAACCAATTAATACACAGTTTGAATGTTCCTACATGTGCATTTGAGAAGTCAACATGAAATAGTTTTGTGCTACATGCTAAACTTAACTAAAAACAATTTTTTGCATTAGGCTATTCTATTTTATTATTTTGTAATAATTATTACCTTAAGAATTTTAATATCTAAAACCTTAATTTTTAAATTAATTTCTCACACTGCAGGACAATTTAAGTGAACTGAAAAAACGATGAAAGGAGATTAAAATGGTGGGGAAAAAAGAAAAAATTACAGGATCAAATATATATATATATATATATATATATATATATATATATATATATATATATATTCCCAACCTAAAGAAATACAGCATATATTTTTCATTTCAAGTACATTTCAGAATTGTTATGTAGTTATTTTTATGTAGTCCAGTGATTTTTTAATAAAGAGGTTTGTTTGAACATTTTATTACCTGAATGTTTTTAGAAAGTCATGAATTTACATAGACAATTATTTAAACACAATTTCTGAATTATTTAAAAAACTACACTACCATTCAAAAGTGTGGTCTGCAATATTTTCTTTTTTTTCTTAAAAGAAATATGCTTGTATTCAGCAAAGATGCATGAAAAAATCAAGACTTTGACATTGTTACAAAAAAATATTTAAAAAGTGGTTCCTTTGAACTTTACTCAAAAAAATGTATCATGGTTTCCACACAAATATTAAGCAGCACAAATGTTTTAAACATTGATAATAATAAGAAATGTTTCTTGAGCACCAAATCAGCCAATTAGAATGATTTCTGAAGGATCATGTGACAGGCTGCCAAAAATTCAGACCAATAGTCTATATTGAACAGTAGTGTATATTGCTTTCCAGCAGTCTAGATTCTGGTCAGAGACTATCAGCACCTCTTTGTGTCATTAAGTAGATGTTAATGACACCAAGCGCTCATAGTTCAGGGAAGTCTTTAAAAGAGAACTACTGAAATAGTGTTGAATTAGAGGAGGGATATTGGATTAATTCACCTCATTTAGCAGATAAGCATACTGTATACAAGCTTACTTTCTCCTCAATCCATGCTTCTATTGAGGTTTTGTTTCGAAGAATCACCTTCATCTAAAAGAAAAAGAGAAAATTGCTGATAAAATTGAACTTATATGAGAAACATCCTCACAAGAAAACCATGGATTAAATAGACCTTCGTTAATTTGGTGGGAAAGAAAATTAGAATGTGAGGGAAAGGAAGTGCAGCCCATTCAATATATCCATAAAAATTGTTACCTACCTGAATAAAAAACAACATCCCAACAGCAATAGTGGTACCCAGCGCCAGTCCCAGTGCAAAAAGAGTGGCTGCAAATGCCGCAATGCTGAAAGGCATGATGGGATGGTGGATGTGCCGAGCAGCGCTCATGTCAATCTTCACTGAGCTCCAACCAAATGAGATCTAAATCCAAGAAAATGGGCCAGAACATCATCACAACAATCACATGTCCGAAAAAATACTCAGTCCGAGCTTTAAAGGAATAGTTCACTTAAAAATGAAAATTCTGTCACCATTTACTCACTCTCAAGTTGTTTCAGACCTGTATGAATTTCTTTCTTCTGGTGAACACAAATGAAGATATTTTGAAGAATGTGTCGGTAAGCAAACAGTTGATGGACCCCATTGACTTCTATAGTATTTCTTTTCCTACTATGGAAGTCAATGGTGTCCATCAACTGTCTGGTTATTGACGATCTTCAAAATATCTTCAAAATATCGACTTAAGGGTGAGTAAATGATGACAGAATTAAAAATGTTAAGTTAACTATAAATGATGACAGAATTAAAAATTTTAAGTTCACACTGAAGATGCTAACTATAACAATAAAGCTAAAGATATAGTTCTAAAAATAAAAGAATAGCAGAATCCATACCACAACTATAACAATAATGGCACAGAGGAACAATATTGTTAGAATCACTTTTTTCCAGACGTTGAAGCATAAAAACATCGACAACCAATCAGAATCCATTCTGCTTTAAAGATCCCGAGCATTTAAAGCAACAGACGACTTAACTGCAGCGCACGCTTAGAATAATCAGAAAGTTATCGTCTTATTGCTGGTGTGTACGCTAATATAGTTATCGTTATAGTTATCTTCATGGCTATCATTCTTGGTGTGAATGGGGCTTTAGTCATAAAATGAATGAACATTTCAGCAGAAGCTCATCTTAGCTTAGCCTAGGTAATATTTTACATACGTTTGTGTCCATGCTACAGCTATTGATTGTTAATAGAATGAATTACATCAAAAATAAGAAGAACAATGTGAAAAAACGCTTACCCGATCATAAAGTTGAGTGTACGTAGTCATGATAAATATTAGTGCGGCATGCATGCAGCCCAGTGGAGCGAGCAGGAGGAAACTGGTGAAGTACGCATGATTCAATTGACCACAGCAGTTGTTGATCCAGGGACAATGATGATCCATCTTCATCACACATCTGAGGGAAGGAGCCATTTTTATGTTAAATATGAATGTGAATAAAGCACAAATTTAATTTGGTCAAAATAAATGCACAACATAAATGAGTCCTTCAAGGGATAGTTCACCCATAAAAAGGTCATAATTTACTCACACTCATGATGTTCCAAACCTGTATGAATATTTTCGAGAATGTTAGGGTCCAAACAACATTGGACACAATTGACTTTCATTGTATGGACGACAACAACAACAACAACAGAAGAATGTCATGCAAGTGTGGAACAACATGAGGGTGAGTAAATGATGACAGAACTTTCAATTTTTAGGTGAACTGTCCCTTTAAAGCTGAAGTATGTAATTTATGTCAGAAAGAAGAAAATGAAAAAACAAGAATTGTTTTTAAACATGTTTCTCAAATACACCCCCCTCGACAAATATTAGTCCCTCCCGCCCCAAACTCACACCATTGATTGAGCCATTGGTTTAAAATATATATAATAAAAATGACATACTTCAACTTTAAAATGCATCCATATTAAAAGAAACCAGTCAGTTGTTTTTAGACAAATCTACCTGTTACACTTGCGACAGTGATGTGACCTTGGGGCTTTATAGCCTTGGCACAATTTACAGAACTGTAAGTACATTATTTCTTGTTGATTCTCCTGTTAGAAAACACAGATAACAACATAAGTCATATTAGACATGCTGATTTCAGAAACCTTCAGAAAACAAGACCATATCATACAAGCACATGCGTTAAAGGGGTGGTATAATGCCCTTTTCATAAGATGTAAAATAATCTTTGATGTCCCCAGAGAGTGTATGTGAAGTTTTAGCAAAAATACCCCACAGATATTTTTATATAGCATGTTAAAATTGTCACTTTTTGAGGGTGAGCAAAAACGAACCGTTTTTGTGTGTGCCCCTTTAAATGCAAATGAACTGCTGCTCCCAGCACAGAAGGCGGAGCTTCAAGAGGTTGTGTCCTTTTACCTCACACAGACATGCACTGAAAATTTTTAATTTTTTTAGCCTTCTATGTTCAAACCGTTCAAACTGATGTGGAGTTAACTATCTTCTAGTCATTGATTAGCATATTCTGTCATGACAATCTATAAATCGCATTCCCGGAGGCGGGGTTTCTGTAAATTCTAGGGTTGGTGATGTCACTAACCCGGGAGGAATGTTGTGTAGTCCCTACCAGCTGTTTGTTGTAGTCCTTAAAAAACATTTTCTTTAAAAGCAAATATCTTCCTTTGCTTTGAACTTTGTAACTTAATTTGCGGATGTTGTTTATGCTCAAACAGCAACATTACACACTAACTAAAGTTAGAAAAATGAAATCATAATCAACCACCCCTTTAAAATCTTTGCATACACTATTGTTAAAGACGTTTTCTCGTCGCTTGATAAACTTAGGGTTGAGCCACTGTAGTCACTTGGACTATTTTAACGATGTCTTTACTAACTTATCTGGGCCAGCAGATGCAATTACCTAGCAGCCTATGAAGGAGTGAGACAGCTCTCAGATTTCATCAAAAATATCTTAATTTGTGTTCCGAAGATGACGAGTCTTACAGGGTTGGAACAACATGAGGGTGAGTAATTACTGACAGAATTGTCATTTTTGGGTGAACTAACCCTTTAAAAAGTTTGGGGTCAGTAAGATATATATATTTTTTTGAAAGATCATCAAGAACACATTCAATTTTCCAAAAAAATATTAAGTAGCACAACTGTTTTTAACATTGATAATAATAAGAAATGGTTCTTGAGCAGCAAAATTAGCTTTATTAGAATGATTTCTGAAGTATCATGTGACACTGAAGAAGACTGGAGTAATAATGCAAAAAAAATCAGCTAATTTGACATTTTAAAACATATTAATATAGGAAAAGTTTATTTTAAATTGTAATAATATTTCATAATATTAGTGTTTACTGTATATTTTAATCAAATACATGCAGCCTTTGTGAGTATAAGAGACTTCAGTAAAAAATTTGAAAACTTCTGAAAACACCCCAAAATAGACTTACCGGTTTCCACCCCAGAGGAATGTAACCAGGGCCGACAAACATGGCATTAAAGTAGTTGTACAGAATGAGGACAGTCCAGTTAATGAGCATGATGAAGTTAATGCTGCCTCCAGTGGTGTCCAGTGGCCAGTACCAGATTATGGAGTCTAGTATGGCCATGGTGGAGCACATGCCAATGACCGTCAGAGCGATGATCGGACCCCAGTGGAAAAGCCTTTTGACCTCATGGAGGTTCTCAAACACAATTATAGCAGACAGAATATTCATTTTTTTGTTGGATTTTAGTGTCTTTAAGGTCCTCAATTTAACAGCTGTGAAGTAGTCAGGCGTGTTGTCTTGGTTTATTGCAGTGATTTAAAGAGGTCAATGGGCATCTTTTCTGTCTCTTCCGAAACAACCATTGATCGGCTACGTCACCTGTCACCAGCCGTTTCCTAGAGTTCCAGACTCGGTCAGCGTGTGGCATCCTTCCGTACTAATCCCCTGATCACCCTATCCTTGAGCTAAAGCCAAGCCATCCATCTGAAGAGAAGGCAGGTGAAGTTGAAATTAATTATGGAAGAGGAAGACTCACCTTACACTAAATTTTACCATTGTAACCATAGTTTAAACCAAAATACCACAGTTTCTATCTATCTATCTATCTATCTATCTATCTATCTATCTATCTATCTATCTATCTATCTATCTATCTATCTATCTATCTATCTATCTACCTGTCTGTCTGTCGATCTGTCTGTCTGTCTATCTATCTATCTATCTATCTATCTATCTATCTATCTATCTATCTATCTATCTATCTATCTATCTATCTATCTGTCTGTCTGTCTGTCTGTCTGTCTATCTATCTATCTATCTATCTATGTATCTATCTATCTATCTATCTATCTATCTATCTATCTATCTATCTATCTGTCTGTCGATCTATCTATCTACCTGTCTGTCTGTCTATCTATCTATCTATCTATCTATCTATCTATCTATCTATCTATCTATCTATCTATCTATCTATCTATCTATCTATCTATCTATCTATCTATCTATCTATCTACCTGTCTGTCTATCTATCTATCTATCTATCTATCTATCTATCTATCTATCTATCTATCTATCTATCTATCTACCTGTCTGTCGATCTATCTATCTACCTGTCTGTCTGTCGACCTATCTACCTGTCTGTCGATCTATCTATCTACCTATCTGTCTGTCTGTCTGTCTATCTATCTACCTGTCTGTCTGTCTGTCTGTCTATCTAGGCTATACTATACTATCAAATGTGAAATCGTTCATATTAAAAACTTTGAATACTTTTTTTTTTTACATAAAAAAAGGCTATGCCAGTTGCCTACACATCACAAAAAAGCAATTATACTACGCTCATCCATTTGTGTTCTACCTCACTATCTCTACATCAAAATACTAATCCCAGTTTGTTTACTAATGTCATTATAACATAAAGCATGGGTAAAAAGAAATCAGGACTATAAAGAGAATGCAGTGGTTAATGTTGCATCATGTCAATTATTGTGCTTCAATGCCTTCACACCTTGTTTTCCCATGTCACACCCAAAGCTTTGCTTCTATGCTACTACCGTCTGTTTATGGCCTCTGATTTTTCACTATAGACTGTGGTTAAACAAGCAAACAAATAAAAGAAAAAGAGGTTACACTTTATGTTAAGGTATCTTTGTTACACTGTAATTATACGTTTAATTACCGAATAATATTAATTAAGTAACTAACTACATAGGGTTACTTTATATGGTTAAGATAAGGGTTTGGTTTGGTTAAGGGTTAGTTGCATGTAATTACGCATAATTTATAGTTATTACTATAGTAACTACATGTAACGTAATGACACTGTGTTACCGAAAAAGATGTGAACTGCCCAACACCAAAATAAACTTCATCCAGTTGTTAACGTTACTGAGTCTCAGACTGCGTGAACTGAATCGGTGGAGATGATCTATTACTTAATATCCCGTTAAAAGTCAATCTGATTCCAGAGACCCCTCAATTTAATTAATTATATTGCAGTAAAATATATAGAAAATATCGTCTAAATGTATAAATTATCTTTATTGCCAAATTACAGATATCAGACCTTAATCAATGACATACTTTGAAAAAGGCCATGGTTGCTAATAGAGACATAGATGATGTGTGGTATCTTTCATTATGACGGCAACAATCTGTATTTTTATGTATTTGATTACTGAACAGATTGTTTTGAAAATGAAAAATTAATCGTTAACTCATACCTCGACATTCCCTCGTGCGATCAGTGTCCAAGAAAAACCGGCAGTCACGCTGCATACGAATCAGTGAACTTGTTATTTAACGCCTATAACAGTGTTAGAGATTGAATCGTTTATAAAATAATGAAAACATAATTCAACGAGGAAGATAATACAGTTACACGCGCGATTGACACCACAACGGAACCATTTACAGGAAGAGATCGTGAACAAATTCCCGTGACACCACCCGGAAGTGACGCAGACGTCAATAAGAAGCAGACGCAAGCAACAGTGTGTAGCGCAGCCCAGTTCATCCATCTTTTAATCTTTTTAAAACAAAAATACAACATGTCTTCGGATTTTGAAGCTTACGAGCAGGACTTTGGCACCCTCACCGCGGAAATAACCAACAAAGTTGGACGAATACCTAAGCTAGCCGGTGGTAAGTGGCTGTTAAATTAGCTAAAAGCAATACATTCATGTCACAGAACGACATAACGTTAAACAACTCAGTCAGTGTTTAATTCTCGCTGCTGTTGTGTCAGGTTGGTATATTATTTAGAAACGTCCCATATCAATTGTCAATGAGCTATGGTTTCATGAGGGTCATGGTGTCAGATATCTAGTGTCAGATCAGATGAATCTTCAGTGATGCCTAAAGATTCAGGATTTGGGTGACAATGATCTTAACATGTTAGAACAGATCTTAGAACATGTTTGTTGGAGTTAAAGAGTTGACATTTTTTGGCTAAAGTAGTGAAGAATCCTAGTTTCTGCATTATGAAGTAGTACACAGTATACAGTGAGACAGATGCAAGGTCCTACTTTGACTCCCTGTTTGTGTTGTTGACATAATTATGATTGAGACTGACAGGCAGACAGCTCTCATTTTGTTGTGTTGGTAATCATTTTGTATTGTGTAATAGACTAAACATAAAAATGCCATTATTCCCGAGCTGCTGTGATGAACGTCACACAAAAACAACAACAAGTTTTGTCAGACCTAAAAACTTGGAAACACTAGTTTCCAAGAGTCTTTGTTAGGCTAAAGATTGAGAGATGGAGTGTTGGATTTTAATCCTGGCTATCTCACACACCTTTTAATATCAAAATTAATTTACAAACATATTTACTTTTTGCATTTGGCATATACTTTAATTAGATATGTATATTCAGTCATATTCTTTTGCATTACATTTTAATTGTACTTAATACATTTTAATGTGGGAGGAACAATTAAACATTTAGCTGAAGTTTATGATTCTAATTTGCTGATTTGGCGCTGCTTTCGTTACTTATATTTTTGTCGATTTTTTTTATTAATAGAAAGTTCAATTAACAGCATTTGTTTGAAATAGTTTTTTTTTCCACCATTATATACGATCATTTAACACCAAACTTTTGAATGGTAGTGTATTACGGTTTCCACAAAAATATTAAGCAGCAAAAACATATTTCCACATTGGTAATATTAAGAAATGTTTCTTGAGCAGCAAATCAGCATTTCAGAATGATTTCTGAAAGATCATGGGACACTGAAGACTGGAGTAATGATGCTGAAAATTCAGCTTTGCCGTCACAGGAATAAATTTTAAAATATATTAAAATAGAAACCAGTTCTTTTAAATTTTAATATTTCACAATATAGCCTAGCTAAGTGTTTTTACTGTATTTTTAAAATCCAATTAATGCAGAGTATTTTGAGACGTCTTTCAAAAATATAAAAAAAATATATAAATTATACCAAACTTGTTTAATTTGAAAAACTCAAACTCAATTCTATAACCAAACAATAATTGGTGGTCCCCCTGCAGTACCACCATGGCGCCCCTAGATGTCACAGACTAGGTCTAGGTTTATGTCAAGTTTTCTATACTAAACATGGCTGTTTCATCACATTGTTAAAATTGACCCTATTTGGGAGCCTTTAGGATTGTGTGTTGTCATAAGTCTACTGCCGCTTTACCTGTCTTTGTGCTTTTAATTTATGAAATCAGACAGTGTTTCCATGGAAACAATGCTATGAGATGAGTGTGATGTTGGATAGGTGAGAGAAAGCTCAGAGGATCTAAAAATAACCTTAAAATAGCATGAAACATGTCTGTATAAAGGAAGGAAAATGTGCCATGAATTCGTATGTATTCAAAATGTATTCCATGAATATGACTTTGCTTGTTCTTGAGACACATTCTTACTTGTTTAAAACATTTGTTGACAAAGAAAGCCAGTCTGTTTTTTCATAACCAGTGCTAACATTTAGCGTGCGTGTATGTACATATTTTTACAATATTTTACACGATTAAAATGTAACATCTTTTGTAACATTGTCTTTTTTTTAGTCAGATTTTTAAAAATCAATTTAATGCTTTCTTACTGGAATAAAAGAATTAATTTATTATTTTTCTTCTTCCTCTTATAAAAATACAATCTTACTGACCCACATTTTTTTATCTGTAGTGTTCATTATCCTACTGTGTTAATGGTATTTTAAAGTATACACCTGCTTCCTTACTGATATGTTTTAGCCTGTGTTGATTCGAGCACTCTAGGTAATTTGCTTACGACTCATAAGTTATGAGTTATTATGACTTGATATGTTAAAACTTTTTTGTAATAATTGTATAGCTATTATTTCTATTCATTCATTTATTGATTGAATTTACGTCAATTTAAAGGTACACTATAAAACAACTGCATGCATTGTTTTGGTTGTGCTTGGGGTCTGCGTGACTGTAGATGAATATGGAGAGGGGGTAAAATCTCTGCGTGGCAGGGGGAGCTGCCACTCGACCGGCCACGGAATTATGCGCCTGCCACTGCGTTATATGCGCCTGCCACTCGACCAGTCACAGATATATGCGCCTGCCACTCGACCAGTCACAGATATATGCGCCTGCCACCCGACCGGCCACGGATATATGCGCCTGCCACTCGACCAGTCACAGATATATGCGCCGGCCACTCGAACTTACACAATATGTAAGATAGGTTTTCAAACCAAATGCAGCGCATAACCCCTGAAGCCAGCGGGAGACAGAACGGTACGCACTATAGGTCAATATTCACCATTAACCAAACGCTTTTCGCCTGCCTCACAACTACTGTAGGCTACTCGCTTTTTTTTAAATGAGCACCAGTCTCGTGACATAGACTTATGCGCCTGCCTTAAAATCTCTCACTGTTTTAATATACCAGACGAACCCACAGGCAGTGCAATACTTATCTTATTTATGTCTAATTGTATCTCTTTTTTATTCGCTCTTTTTGCCCATAGAGAGCGCGTCTCTTGGCTCCCGCCTGGACTACTAAAGCGTCACACCAGCCAAACGATCTCTCTCTGTATACACCTATCAGACACTCCTAATGGTACACGAGAACATGCATACAGTGTAAAACAGATCTTATCTACCTATTTATCATCTGATCTTAAATTTTATTCGCTCTTTTTATGCGTATCGTAGTGCGCTCGCGACGTGGCTCTTTTAAGCGTCGCTCCAGCCATACCCGCCACACGATCTCTCACTGTTTACACCTATCAGACACTCCTAATGGTGCATGAGAGCACACATACAGTGCAATACAGATATTATCTACCTATTTATCATCTGATCTTATATTTTATTCGCTCTTTTTATGCGTATCGTAGTGCGCTCGCGTGGCTCTTTTAAGCGTCGCTCCAGCCATACCCGCCACACGATCTCTCACTGTTTACACCTATCAGACACTCCTAATGGTACATGAGAGCACACATACAGTGCAATACAGATATTATCTACCTATTTATCATCTGACCAGGCGGGAGCCAAGAGACGGGCAAAAAGAGCGAATAAAAAAGAGATACAATTAGACATAAATAAGATAAGTATTGCACTGCCTGTGGGTTCGTCTGGTATATTAAAACAGTGAGAGATTTTAAGGCAGGCGCATAAGTCTATGTCACGAGACTGGTGCTCATTTAAAAAAAAGCGAGTAGCCTACAGTAGTTGTGAGGCAGGCGAAAAGCGTTTGGTTAATGGTGAATATTGACCTATAGTGCATACCGTTCTGTCTCCCGCTGGCTTCAGGGGTTATGCGCTGCATTTGGTTTGAAAACCTATCTTACATATTGTGTAAGTTCGAGTGGCCGGCGCATATATCTGTGACTGGTCGAGTGGCCGGCGCATATATCTGTGACTGGTCGAGTGGCAGGCGCATATATCCGTGGCCGGTCGGGTGGCAGGCGCATATAACGCAGTGGCAGGCGCATAATTCCGTGGCCGGTCGAGTGGCAGCTCCCCCTGCCACGCAGAGATTTTACCTTATCGTTTAAAATTTAATTATCATGAAAACCGTGTTTGATTATCGTGATTTTGAAAACTCGCGGTAAATCATGTCCAGGCAAGTCTGACAAAGGCGCGCGCATGTAACGTTGTTTTTTGTTCGAGAAGAAATGGCGGAAGGCAGTGACACAGCGCTCGGGAGATTTTTCAGGAGATTCTTTTACAAAAAAATTCTCGGGAGATTCTTTTACAAAAGTCCAGAGGGAAACTTATTAGAGGATGGTCACCCAGTCTGCAGAACATGCAAAAAGAAAGTCGCTGCAAAAGGGGAAACTTCAAATCATCTTCGTGACCACCTCCTTCTTGTAACTATCAAACGCAAGGTACATTACCCTTTAACGTTAACTTACCTCAATAGCAAAGAAGTTTGGGAAATAATTGGACACAAAATATTGTTTTGAGTAGAACTATTTTACACTTGTAACTAACTCAAAGCCTCCGCGAAGAAAAGTTTAAGGAATAATGTATATAAATTGTGTAAGTTACTTAGGTACACAATTTTTTTTTTTACCACAGAAATAATTACTTGGACATGAAATATTGAACTGATATATTTTAAAATCTTACACTTAAATCATTTTTTTACAGTGTACAAAACAACGTTTTGACAAGATGATCACTACAACAATATTCTAGTAGTATTATTAATATACTGTGTCCTCTGATTTAATTTTCAATACAACCAGAATCTGAGACGCAAGACGGAAAGTTTCATTTGAATGTCCTATAATTTAAAGCTGCAGTATGTAACTTTTTCATGCGTATTGCAGAAGAACATTGTAGCCGGAGCAGAGCTACTTCTCTCTGTTTATGAGTCACGCAGGTAGTGGGCTACTCCCCAGTGGTACGACCCATACCAGCCTAAAATAGTCTGAATATTAACACTTAATATAGGTGTACTGTAGTGATTCAGGATAAGACAAAAACACTCGCTCACTATATACATTTTGTAAATTTGGAACACAAAAAAGTTACATACTGCAGCTTTAGTGTTTATGCTTAAAAGAATTGCATAGAGTTGATAATTTTATTAGTTTTTTGTTGATTTTCAAATATAAAATTTGTTGAAATGTTTTCATTGTGTGTATCAGTTCTTTTTGAAAATTTTCATCTAATTTGAACT